TAACTCCTTTAAGACACAGACCTGCATCAGCCTGGAGAAGACATCTCTCCACTTTACATAGGGTGACCAGATGTCCTGATTTTATAGGGACAGTCCTGATTTTTGGGTCTTTTTCTTATATAGGCTCCTATCATCCCCCACCCCCAATCCCGATTTTTCACACTTGTCTGGCCATGCTAACTTTACACTTCCATGATGTAAAGAATAAAACCAAGATTATAGAAAACCTATAGTCTGAGAAGGGAGGATTTCACACCTGTCAGGATTTATACAGTCTGAGCAACTGTAAGCAGCTAACGCTCAACTCAGACACCTGCACTTTGCTTTTTTTACATTTCCCCTTCAATATGCTCAAATGTCTTCACCTAATTAGGAAACCAAACGCCATTTCCAGCCCCCTAACTCCCCGTAGACAGGAAACTGGGAGCTCTCTCTAGCCTCAATTCTCTGGGGCAGCTCGAGAGAGGGATTCAGCGATGGGCGAGCGACCCAGAAGAGCTGAGGACGTGCTAATGACGGGCTCGCGCCCCCCGCTCGCCTGGTCCGCACACCACGGGCTGGGCGCCGCGCGGCGGATAAAGGCGTGAGGAACAGGCTGGGGCGCGCGCCCGCGCCCGCTCCAACACAGCTGCGGATGGGCGGGGCGGGAGGCCCCAGCTCCGTGTTGGCAAGGGGGGGGCTTGCGGGCGGATCTCACGGGAACCTGAGTCTGGCGGGGAAGGCGACAGGGCCCCGCTGTGGTGCTACCCGTGGGGGGAGGGACCCAGCCCTGACTGAGCCCCCAGTGGCCGGGTTGCCTCAGTCAGCGCGGGAGCAGTCGCCAGTGCTCAGCCCCGATGTCCCCTTCGGCCGGGACGGCACCAACCCCGGGCTCCTGACCTGGCCTCCTCGCTCACGCCGGCTCTCCTGAGGGGCGACGCGGGGAGGCGTCGGCACCACCCGTGGGAAGAGGGAACGGAGCGACCCCCTCCTCCCCCTTTGTACCGGGTGGGAACGGCGCTGGCTGAGCTCAAGCGGCCTGTCCCATCCCTGGTGCCCGGTGGGAAGAGCGAGGAGGCTGCGGGCCCCGGCACAGCGGGAGTAGCACAGCGTCCCCTGCTGGGAACTCCCCTGCCCTGCTGAGCCGCAAAGGTGGGGCCTTTCCCAGTGACGCCCAGGGAGCCCCAGGATCTGGCCCTTTAAAAATTAGAATTAAACTTGTAACTCGCCAATGGGATGTTTGCATGAAATAAATGCAATGAACCCAGTCCCCAGCACGGTGGCCTGCGACTGGGTAATTTGAGGATAGCTGGGGGAGGGGGATTAGGGTGCCTCTGAGTGAGGAGGGCAATAGGGAGGCCTCTTTCGACTCCACAGAAGTGCATTGCACGGATCACTGTAAAATAGCCCATGTTTTACTGTGGGCTGTCCTAGGAACAGTTGGTGGCTAAGGGCCAAATTCAAGGGAGTAGCTAACTTCACTTCTGTAGGATAAACCAGAGCTGAATCTGCCCCTACGATTTCAGCTTTGCTGGTTATCCCCATATAATAACCTGGCAACAGCTGCACCAGATTGTTGACCAAGACTGTGGAACACCCAAAAAGGTTATCCCCTGAGAATCCATCCTAGGTTTGACTGGGCCTTATGCATGCTGGGATGGGTTTGGGGGAATTTAGGCAGTACTATGTGGATACCCTGGCAGTGCAGGGATGGGTCTGATTTCTCTCACCACTTCTATGTTGATGTAAATCCATTGATTTTAATGGAGTTAGTCCTGTTTTCCATCAGTGCAAGGAGGAGGAGAATACTTTGTCAGTCAAGCTCACAGTTGGTAGTGAAGTACAGTTGTTAATAAATTAAGTCTCAGTGCTTTAATTTACCAAGCTTGTGGTATGCTATAACTCATGTAATGTATCTTCTTCTTTAATTAGAGTGAGGATAAGCAAACCGACTACAGCATCTTTCTCACTGAGAATCACTTATGTTCATATTTCTTCCATTTGATACAATTGTTTTTGTTGCAGTTTTAAATAGAAATGTTCCAATTTAGGACACTGAAGCATGTCTAGATTTAATAAAATTCCCAGACATGAAAATGGAATTAAGGTTTTAAATAAAGCAATAGCCTTTATTTCAAAATATTATAATGTGGTTATTAAAGAAACAAACATTTGAAATTTAGGCTATTTAAAAGTAAAGTTCTATAAAATAAAAATCAGGGCCATCCTTAGAATTTATGGGGCCCTACGCAGTATTATTAAACTGGTGCCCCTATGCCTGATGGCAGCCCAGGCTCGCAGCCCAGAGTGGGGGTAGGGACGAGGCAGCAAAGGGTAGTTTGTTTGAAAACACCTGGCCCGCCTCACGGTGGGGGAGAATCACAGTTCCCCGAAGAGACCCCCTACCCTCTCTCTCATGCAGAATGGACATGCAGAAGGTACCTAATTAAAAGCACTAAACTTGGGAATAAAAAATGTCAGTTACAGGTTTTTTGGTATGCCCTGAAGTTTGTCAGACATTTATTTGCAAAGAGTTTGTAGTAAGGGTGAGTCAGCTGTCTTACTGAATACAACATTAAATATTATGGAATACATGATGCAGCTCTTCTCTGTTTTACATTTTCTTAATCAGTATTTTTAAGCTGATTTTATATTTTAAATGTACTCTTAAGCCTTCATAAAGTAATCATTCCAGATTACTACATATTTAACTCACTGAAACAAAGACATTCTTTTAAATTAATCAGTCTCAGAGGTTTAGTGTGTTCATAACAATGTTCATTGCTTTTAGAAAAAGGGAACACTTAATTTACTTTGTGTGATCTCCATAACAATAGACATGTTTATGAAATTTCACCAACTTTAAAAAATATGTTTCCAAAGATTTTAGGCATAACAAAGGATTTTATATCTTACTAAGGTACTGATTTTGCGGGAGGGTTTTCTTAAAACTAGTTCATCAGATAGAAGTAAAGAAAGCTGGACAAAGTTTCCCTATCTGGAAGGAAAGGGGTGTTGTCCCTTTAAGGGCTTTCTTCAAGGGGTGGGGGGAGGGTAAGGGAGAAAAGGATGGACAGGAAGACTGGGAGCAAGTTTTTTTTTACTATAGTAATTTAAATTAAAATGTATATTTTAGATAAGGATGGTCTTTTGAAGGATTTATTTTAAAAACTATATGTCTGATGATCCAAGCATTTAAGGCTAAAGATGATTGTGCATATAAAAATCTATGCAAGGATTTTTTAGAGGTGTGATTTTATAATCTTCACCAACTCACTAATAAAATATTTTTAAAGCAAATTTTAAACTAAGGTCCTGTAGACTAATATGTTCTGAGTAAATATTACAGTAATGCACAACTGTTTTTGTCAGTAAATGCAGAAACTGACAGTATATACCCGGGATTTGGCAAATGCCTGTTAAATGGCTTCATTACCACTTGAATGGCTCTTTAACAGTTTCAGTGTTGTGCTAATAGATCTGGCTGGCTGGAAGGCTTTTTCACTTCTGAGTTACTAGATCCCCTCCGAAGTAAGAGTCACCAGGCTGCAGCAGCCAGCTGTGGGAGCCTGCAGGAAGGGTCAGAACAGGGATAGGAAGGTGGAAGGGTGGACACTAAGACCCAGTGGTGCCCCAAATTTTCAGGTGCCCTACACAGCCTCCTATTCTGCTTATGCCTTAGGATGGACAGCCCTGGGGACATGGAAAAATGTAAGGTATCTGAGTAGCAGCCCTGTTAGTCTGTATCCGCAAAAAGAACAGGAGTACTTGTGGCACCTTAG